CATTTCAGATATACCATTGTTTTTCACCCATCATGGTGGATATGCAGTGTTTAGATTTGAAAAACAGTAAATCTTTGATCCTCGCTCTTTGATGTGCCGCTTCCCACCAGTGGAGGCTTGGTCGGTGTGGGCGCCGTACGCCACTGATGTTCTCTATCTGTCTCTGTGTGTGACAGGGGGAAACGTTTCTTTTTGGGATTGCTCCGATATTTGCATATTTGATGAATCGAGGTCTATCTCGGTGGCCGGTGCCTGATGCGCAGACTCAAATATACTCAGCAGGTGACAGGCAACCATATGCCTCAAATGCCATGGGGTCCTGGAGCCGGATCATCTCCAAAGGCTAACTGGCAGGTCTAAGTAGGGACGGCATTAATACATATTATTCACAAAGAGCATGATTGAACAGAAAAATGTGGCCGGCGTGTACCCAGCTGCTTTGTTGGCACACAGCTCATCCTGAGCCTGGGTTTCAGGACTGAGCTTAGATTTAGCCATGCATTCACTGAATTCCCCATGCAGCTCTCATCCATTCATTCACTCATTCACTCATTCATGCACAGGCTCAGCGTCACCGACAAACTCTCTGTTTCTCTCTGTTGGTGTGCATGGGTGTGAAAGAATGACCATGTGTGCATTTAGGCCTTTCTTTGAAAAGCTTCAGCAAACTGGAGGAAATTCTACTTGTTTGAAAGAAACCTACACAGTACATGTTTACTGCACACCATCAATTAATTTACTCCGAACCGCTCCTACAGTTGAACTGAGCATGAATACATTTACTCTCAATTATTAATTCAGCCCGACTTCGTGGACTTTGTTTCCTGTTTCCAGTCTTTTAACAGTTTCCGTTGTGGTTAATTATAATATTCTTTTTGACGAGTACTGGCTGGTGCATGTTTCCTTTTTATTCTCCAGGACGCCGTTAGAATTGATGCATTGATGTCTTGCCACGTGGATTTCCATTTACACTCATAAAAATGTATGGAAACATTTTTCCATCGCTCACCTCGCAGTCATCAGGGGGTGAGCAGGTGCGTCAGTGCTCCACACATGCTCTCATGATCTCATACTCTCAGCCAACTGTGTACTGTCCTGGACATACTTGGGGATATGTCGCCCTCTACAGGCTAACGCTTGCCCTCTCTATCTCTGGAAGTTAATTATTTATTCATGTAATTTGCTTTACATGGCAAATATCAAGCCCAGTATTGATCGTGAGAGAGAATCGATTCGCTTTGAGAAATGACTTGAAGTTGATCTTTGAACAACAAAATTTAAACTTTATTTAAAAAAAAAAAATTGTGGAAAAACACGGTAAAACAGTGGCACATATTTTAATAGGACACAGTAAATGTAATTCACTCAACACCTAAATAATAAGGTGCCCAGTATGGACCTAAAATGTAATATATATTAACTGCATTTTAGCAAGTAAAAATGAAAACAAAAATACAAGTTTTAGAGTCAGCTGCAAGAATGTGTTTTATTGAATGCTTATGTTTGAGTAAGTAATTTCACACAATGCAGATATTTTTGTGATGCTTATGTTTGAGTAAGTAATTTCACTCAAACTCATTTTTTGAAACAGTTAATAGTCATTTAATTAGTTATTGCACATCAATGCAAAAAAATAGTTTTACCATAGTTAAAATAAAATAATGACCCTTATTCCCCTAACCAGAATTTATTTTCTTTGTGCCGTATCTTGGACATCATTCGTTGGTCATTTGACATTTCTCTATAAACAAATAGAGCCAGTAGGTTAAGTTAATCAGTTTCATTTAAATAGTGTCGACTTGTTTAATTCATTCAGTACCTTCATCATTTATCAGCTTTCTTCAGTTGAAGAAGTTGTACTGTAAAAGAAAAAAACAACAACAACACAAAACTGTCATTGCTTTCGTTGACCTATGTGAAAAGGTTGGTGTATTTTAACTGCTGGTTTGTGTAAAAACATATTTACATACATGCACCTTCCTCCCTTTGATGGGTTTGTCGTGAAATTCCCCTGGTGGGCTGTATGGTTTTTCTTTGGACTCTGCTACATCTGTTGGGAAATTATATGGTGTAAGGTTGACATTTGTTTGTGAAATTATGTAGAAATAATGTTTCTACCTAATCAACTAAAAATGGTGACATCAAGCTTTATTAATAACATTTCTGATAAATGTATGACTTTGGCTAAAATGAAAGGTTACATCAGAGCTAAATAGTCTCAGACTTTGTTGCATGTTGGCCAAAGTGTAGGAGAAAAGCTGCTAATTAACAAAAGGCTCTTATATATTTAATGTAGTATTAATGCATCATTAAATAATTAATAATTTAAAGCATAAAAAACACAAATACTGTAAAGTTTAGCTAAAAAGCAACAGAATTTTTAGAATAATAATTACCATAGAACCTGTTTTGGTTCTTTGTGCTGACTCTGGCTGTCAGCTGACTCAACTTCTCCTGCAGACAGACACCAACATCAGCCATTTTTTATGAGAGCCTAAGTCAGGTTTTCTTTTATCGACAATGTGAGGCTGCTGTAAATGATCCTTTTGTGTTTGCACTTTGCTGAGACCTCAGTCTGACAGAAGCTTCAACTTCAGCTCATAAATCTTTTTGCAGCAGCCTAAAAATTCAACTGTTTCACATTTGCAGTGCGAGTCTGCAAATGTAAGTACTCACGATCACAGACACTATATACAAGTAGCACTTTTATTACAGGTAATACCCGGCATTTAACCTCCACTGTTTTGCAAGTACTGAGAAATGTAATTTGGTTTTTTATATATATGTTAATATAATTATGGTTGATAAATGAAAATGTATTTGTGTTGTTATCGCCACAAATCTAAGATTTTTTAGTTTAACCTAATGATTAAAGCACGTAAAGTGAAAAAGCCAGTGAACATAATGTCAATATCATAAACAACCAAATCTATTCATGTACAGTATAGTTTACTCTTTAGACAACTCTCAACCCCTGAACAGTAATACAGTAGGACATGAATCAGGAGTAATGGAATACATCTGTCAAAATATGACAAGGTTTGTTTGTGAATTGTTGCAAGAAATCTGAATTGTGAAAGAGAATTCACCGAATTTAAAATCAACTGAATGCAAAATGTTATTGTGGTTGTTTCTAGTCCTGCCACTAGATGTCCTTCGCTCTCAATCTCAGATATTTTGCTGTTTAACGAGCGCTGACAACCGAGCGATGTCCTCCCAGTTTCTTTGTGTTCTTCTTGGCCCCCGCAGACTTAAATTTATTTATTTTTTCGTGTAAAATATTACATGGCTTTGTATATTCTTGTCCTAATTACTAGAATATGGTGCTTCTGTGAGTATAAACCCATGTCTGTTTGTTTTTTTTAATTATTATTATTTGTTTTACCTTCTGCTGAAGCTCAACAAGGTGCTTTTGTACATGTTTCTGGTTTGCTCCAACGTTGTCGTAGGTGTCTGCTGCAAAAAGCAAACCACCCTGTTAACACCTGTGCAGTGGGGAGCAGTCAAACAAAAAGTGACACTTTTCCTGACAGGCAGCACGAGATAATCAGCAGACATGGGGGCAACACGTTAACAAGGTGGATTTCAGATATAATGTCACAAATTAAACCGTGAGGCAGAAATAGGAAACGACAGAAGAAAAAAAAACCCTGTTCCAGATGGTATTCATAAGGTGGATTAGACAGTAATGTGGTTTCTCCCCAGCCCATCTGTAATGTCAGTGAGTCATGAGGATGCTAAGTCATTTTCTGGATGATCTATGGACCTGTCAGTCCGTGTCACCAGCAGTACAGCCAAGCAGACAAATGGCTCAGTGTCTGTGTAGGAACTTAACACAGCAGCCTTTCTTCTCTTTAAAATCTTTTACTGTTTGTTTATGTTTCTTTGACTGCTATTGATTAGTTCTGCTGGAATGTTTGTTACTCTGCTTATGAGTAACAAACATGATGACTCCCATCTGAATTATTTCATTTTTTAATTGTCTGACAGAAACCAACAAAAAGAACAGACTGAAACAATTCACTACTGTGCTGAAAAACAATTCAGCAGGCATCAGATCTGGGAATGCTACGTTAATATATTTCATATTGAAATTTAAAGTTGCACGATATACATTTGAAATATGCAAGAGCAACGTGAGAAATATGTGAGCATGTATATATCTTTTTATATATTTGTAGTAATTTGTATACCAAAACATGCATTTAGTTCAAACATTTTTCTAATTATGGAAAAAGAACATGTTTAAGCTCAAACCTACCTTGTTTTCTAGGCAGGGTGTATGGATCAGCATTGTCCTTCAGGAACACTTCAGATGAACACATGACAGGTTACAGCAACAATTGTACAAGCGCTGATCTTTGTTCAGAACTAATTTGACTCACATTGACTCTACGCTCTTTCAAACAACAGCCCACCACTGAGGAAACAAACAAGTTACAACAGGACTTGTATCACTGGTGTTCAACATGGGGCATGTAGTTACACCCTTCTCCCCTCCAGAGGGTACTATAAAGGCTGTTTGAGTCCTATTAACAGTACAGAAATTACACATAGCTTTGAACACTAGAAACTCCCTGCCAAATATTAGAAATACACTTAATCGAGATATCTATTAAGTGTATTTAAATTAAGTGTCTTGGTAGAAATATTCAGCTAATAATCCAGATGTTTGGATTACAGTTTTTGGACAGATTAACTACAAATAATGGTGAAAAGAAGCTTTAGTCTCTATCCTTTTTTTTCTTCTTCACGCTGGAAAGAATCTTTTCATTCAGTCACGAACCATTATCGTATACCAAATGTACTTCTGACCTACAGTAGAAGCTCCTCTTTAAAAAAAAGAGACAAAAGGGGAAAAAAATGTGACTAATGTATCGGTACATCTGACCTGGAACCATTGTATAACTAAAATAAGTAAGAAACTCTTCCATACGATTCCTAAATGGCAACTTATGGTCTATTTCACTGTATTTTACTGTTTTGCCACAAGGTGGAGGTATGCCATAATCTTCACAACAATCGCCTCAGCCTAAGATGTGCAACGCTTCGTACATTAAGAATAGAATGTAGATTAAAAAAGACATCCATTCAAGAGGTACAAATGTGAGGAAATCTGAACGTGAAAAAGTATAGTATTTTACTAACTATCATTTCTGCGCTTCATATCATTTCCTTCTGAATGAGGCTTTTGCTTCGGCAGTGAACGGCTTGGTTGAATGGCATCACAGTGTAGCTGTCACAGTCAGTGGATCTGTGGCTGTGTGACCAACTCTGGATTTAAATTCAACATCCACACCCTGCCAGATAATCCTGTCTCTAACTGCTTCCTGCAGTACAGGGACTCTGACACTGTTCCCTCAGCCCATGTTCAAACACAGCCATAGACCAGCCTGGCTTTGTGGCTTAAATTTGAATGAAATTGAGAGTGAAGCAGTGCAGCAGATGTGTCACATGACCGCTGCTCTCACTCTGTCTTGCCTGCTCTGTGTTGCACTGCTCCCATGTATTTAACGTTCCACTTATTTCCTCTCCTCTGCGACCAAATTTCAATCAAAATCCAACATTTCAGACATACTGAACCAAGGACGCTGTTGCTAACAAAGTAAAATAAAAAACTCCTCATTATTTCCACTCGTGTTCTCCAATAACTGGCTCCGAGCCTAATCCTCCACCAAGCCTCGTCTCTCCTCTCCCATCTTTCACTGCGGCAGTGGGAGTGAGAAGCAAAATGTGATCCTTGTGCGGTTCGAAGCTCGGCTGTCTCAATAGATGGAAACCTCGAAATCCCTCTCCTTTTTCTCGTGCACTCTGGGGACAGGGACGATGGAAAACACGTGCAATGACTTATTTTGGTGGACTTGGCCTTGGCCTGGCCCAGATTGGTTGCAGATGGCAGGCTCGTGGTTCCCTGTCTATTACTGAGAGGATGGTGGAGATGCAGAGAGTTCAGTGGTGCACTCCACTCAATTTCTTTTTCTGCTTTGTAAGCCCCTTTGGGAAGTGAGTTGGCTCACAGGATGCAAACAAGCTCAGTAGAAAGATGCCTAATTAGGGTGTTTTGTAACTACAGTTTTTTTAATGTGTGTTTTGAATTCATTAACCAGGGTCAGGTTCAGCGCTGTCAGTGAGAATAACAATCACCGGTGGATACATGTGTTCATGTTTGCTCCTGCCTGATGAAAAGAGACAGCTGCGGACACTTTAATGATTTATAAGCTTTAATAATACCAGTGACTTTGACCGTTTCATCCTCATGAAATATTCACATGTTGGATTTGAACATTTAGGGCCTGTCAGCTTTTGACGCTGGTGAATGGGTCCTTCTCTTTTTTGTTTGTGACTTTCGTTTGTTTTGAAGCGGTGAGCCAGTGTGTTTCTGTGATTTGTTGGATCAAAACAAAGTGCTACGCTAAAAAGCCTCTCTACTCCATTCGACAATGGACATACCAGGCACTTCCACCCTCCTACATTAGCTTTCAGACCCTCTTCACATGCTGTTTACTCAGTGTTGGTTTTAATCCAGGTGAGCTCTATCATATCTGGGGTTTCTGGGGGGAATATCATAAAAGGGAACAGATACCTTGAGCGATGAACGGGGTTCTGTTGTCCATCACCTGAACACACTCAGACCGTGGTGTTGGTACTGGTGGGCGGTTGGCGACGACCGACCTTGTTGATTTGTGGACGGTGCTGTATATATCATTCATCTTCAGTGATGCGTAGAAATCCCCCTTCTCCCGTCCCTCGCCTTCTTCTTGCTGCTCTCTCTGGCCTTCCTCGCTGGAAGGCTTCCCTGATGCACAGAAAGTCTTGATAAATTGCTTCATGCTGGTTTTGCTACCATCATTTCACGGAAAGCAGTGCTGCATGGCGTGCCCATCATTAGCATGACAAAAAAAATAAGTGTTTGGAAATGAACAGCTGCGCAGGATTCTAGCGATGATATGTTGGAAACAAACAATTCTATTTTCCCATCCGGCTTTCCCTCTAGCTTCCTTCCACTTCCCATCAGTGATTCACTCACCTGTAGGCCATGTATTTTCATACACACTGCCACAACTGTTGTCCTCAGCATTGTCCAAATCATTCTGCAACAAAAGAGCACACAGAAGGTGATGGTATGGATTAAAAACAAGTGGAATCTGTTTGTTTTCTTATTGGTCTCTTAAAGGTACAGTGCGCTGGTATTTACTAACATCAAGTAGTGAAATTCCATGTCACAATTTTTATTCCACGTCCGTATCTTACCTCATGCCATTGAAACTCCCTCAGATTTGATTAAACCAAATAACTGTGTACGTTTGTCACTTAGTGGAGTAAAAACACGAACATTTTCTTGGGGGTCGACCATAATGGATTCTACCTACTTCTGTTACAAATAAAGGGTAGTGAGTAGGGATGTCCGAAATTAACTTTTAGACATTAGGAATTAAAGAGTTCTGCAGTAAATGTGTTTGCACAGTTGAAGAGTTCACTCTTCCCTCTGACAACAGAGCGTCTGCTGCTGCTGCTGCTGCTGCCTTCGGGTCGACCGATGTGCTAATACCATGTTGAATGACAGACAGGGCTATGATCAGAGTAATTATCAAATCACACAGTCGTCCCCTATCAGTCCAAACATATCATTTAGTAAGGAACTCAGAAACCCCTGCTTGATGTTTACATTGTGAATCTAATTACACAGTGATAATATATGAATCTAGCTCTACCTACTGGGGAGCATTTCAAAAACTCAAGCGAAATTGAAGTTGTATTTGAAATACGTGTATTTTGAGACCAGGGCAAAAGTCAAAAGTGCAATTTTTAATACTCCACTAACACAACATAGATAAAACTGTGTCCTACACCTAGAGGGTTGTGGTCTTTAAATGCTGACTTATCAGGTTTTATATGCCAAAATCTGTAGTGTGAAGCACTTTGAGTGAGAAAATACCTGTAAAAGTACAGAATTTGAATTTACCCCCAGGAATAAATACTTGATTCCAGTATTATGTTTTTCAAGATTACACTCTGTATTCCAAATCCATTTGTCAATAAACTTTGTAAGGAGATTGAATTTATTTTGATCAACATTCTCCATTTAATATGCCCGGCACTGGAGTGCAGTTTCCAAGCAACACACGCACTCGTGACTCAATTACAATATTACACTGCTCTGAGTAGCCTACTGTAAATTACTTAAAGGCTGCAGTGAATCAGTGGCTTAACAGTAGTTTAGCCATGGATAACAGTAGTAGTTTCACAACAGTGCCAACAGGTAGAAAGGGTGTGTTAATGGTGACCGCAGCATGTACATTAAATGGTTCAGGTACTCTCCTTAAAGCACACTGTGGAATATTCAGAGGTAATTCCTGCAGCGAGGAGGAAGATGATGATGAGGAGGAGTATTTATTTACTAACCACTGATACTAAATCATTCTACAGATGTCTGAAACTGCAGGAACCACAGGCATTCCAGACAGATTCACCCTCACTGCTGCAGTCGGCGCAGCGGTGCTTCAGACATAGCAGTGTGATTTTGTTCGAGGGAATAAAAATCTCAAGTTTTTCTGGGGAGAGATTAGAACTGTAAATCTGTTCTCAGCAGCTGCCTACAGTCTGCATTCCTTGTTCCTCGTGTCTTTTGGTGCAGTGACATATGGATGAATTGTTTTTACAGATCAGGGGACTTCAACATTTGTCTTATTATTCTAATGCTATCAGATGTCACTGAATAATTGTTGGGCGTAGAAGATGTTAAATAATTACAATCCATAGAAAAGGAATGACTCCCTCTTTAAACTGTTTTACCGCAGCAAAGGTGTTTCTAAATTATTTTTCTTCCAACAATGAGTATTTGTCACAACACTGTGACTGTGTAGTGCAGTCTGTGCAAATTAGGTCTCAAAATATGTAATGATTGTGAATATAGTTGAAGTACTTACACTTTAATGTTTAGTAGGAATATGTAGTGTTGCAATTTTAAAATATTTTACAGATTATGTCTATTATTGAACTATTTTTCAGCCTAACTGAAACTAATGGTAACTTTACAGGACAACAGGGCAAATTAATTTGTATTTTTATATTTTGACTTCATTTGTCTCACAGTGGGGAAACTGCTATGATTTGTAATTGTATTTTCCACGGCCATTAAAAAAAGCCGTTTTCAATATATTACAGTGTTGAAGATAAAGTTTAGTGCAGTTTAAATCAAAAGCTGACGTGTTGACATGGGGGAGGGTTGCTGGAGGAAAACTCTGGGAGCCAAAGATCTAACAGATGTAAAACGTTACACTGTGCAAACCAGGATAACGCAACCATTTGAATAATAACCAAATAAGTTCATTGCTAATGACATTCACAGGCCGAACAGTGAAACCAACAAATATCCACAGTCGTGAGCTTAGGACATTACCTAATGTGCTCCCACATATTTGAATAGTGGTGTACGTTACACAAATCAAGACAAACCTGCAGCACATATGGTCCTGCATTGTCTTCAGCTCTGGATTCAGTAGAAAACTCATTCCATAGTTCTGCAACTCTGCTGTCTGTGTCTAAGTGTCCACTGTGAAATATTGTTAGCAGCACAGCGTTCATCCTAATTCTAAGTGACCCTGTATTTAAATATTAAATAAGTACTATGTATGTTTGCGTAAGTAATTACTGTGAGCCGGCACAATGTTGCAGTCCTAAGACGGTGTAGATAAGAGCAGAGCTTTTGCTGTATTTGTATTCTGACTATGCTCCTCCTGAATTATTCAGCCTGCTCCCCTCTGGAACAGTTCACAGCTAATTAACAAAGAAGTGTGGTTCCAGGGCAGACTACTGGATCTGACGCGGGCCCTGTGAGTGATTCTGCCTGGGTTTGAAGCAGGGGACCAATCCATCCAGGATTTATTGACAGATGGCTGCCACAATGACGCCCAAATCACTGATGTATCATGGCTTGATTAATTGGAGGTGGGGGAAACGCTGCAGACGAGTTAATGAAACTGCCATGCAAAAAAGTGGGCAGTCTGAAACTCCAAGTGCTTGTTCCTGCAGCGTACTCAGTTGTTTCATATGTCAGGAATAACTATAATTACCCTCTGAGAAAACTGGAAATGGTTCTTTATTCCAGATCTGTCTTTTATGGTGCATCTATAGCACTGTGAAAGTCCCTGCAGGGAAATGTCTTTGACTCTGCTGCTCCCTGTCAGCTCATGCATGCACTTTGACTCACTGGAGCAATCTGATCAAACCTTGCTCCATCTGCAGTCACTCTCAATTAACAGTGTTGTCAGGAGGATAAATACATTTGCAACAGCTGTTAGAGTGTCTAAATTTCCCTAGAGGAAGAATCCACTCTGGGTTGATCCGCGGCTTTAAAGAAAGTTAAAAGTTGCCTGTATTATGGTGACTTTGAAAGGAAACAACAGTGATAACGTTCTTCTCTCTGGTTGATAAGAAGAGTGAATCCACTGATACCAGCTCTTCAGTATCATTTCAGAGGTGGCGACCGTGTCTTCACTGGAAGTAAATTATTGTGCTTGTGATCAAAACAGTCAAATGTATTTTGCCTAAAAATTCAAAAGCAGGATTTCAGTCCACTGCTGCACATAGCAAACACTGTGAAAAAAGGCCAAACCCAGTTGAGTAAAGTAAAATTTATTTGCATTTGAAATATTTTCATATTTCATGCTTTTTCTTACAATAAGGGAATGGGATCCTGAAGTCATTTTTGGCAATGCACTGGGTTTTTTGTCCTTTTTAAAGTACGTATTTTACACCAGCATACCAAAACTATATACAATGAAATTAGGATTCTCTCGTGCCAATTTACGTAGTTAAACCTGTGCCTGTTTACTTTAACATGATACAGATATACTGTATATTCACAGCAATTGAAGACAGTCACTGACAAAAGATTTTCTGTAGTCTCACTTTTTTCTTAGTTTTATAGTCAATAGGTCTCACTGCTTCATCATAGCACTGATTTATCACAGCAGCATAGGACATTACATGAAGCTGCACTTTGGCAAAATTACTCCGTGAAACCTAGGACTTGTGCTCACCACTTTTTTCATGTTAGACCAGGGTGTCAAACTCATATTCACCGGGGGCCACATCAGCAATACAGTTCCCCTTGAAGGCACGGTAGTAACTGGAAGACTGTATAGATCAGGGCTCCACGGACCAGTACTAGTCCAAAGGTCATTTGGTACCAGGCCACAGTGGGACACACTGAAAAAATGTACTTAATTTTTACTAATTTACTTCATTTAAAGAAAATCCAGTAATATCCGTTTATTTCTTTATTTAAGATAATCTGGCAATATTTTAAAATAATAGGTAATTCAGACCCTGAAACAAACAGAATAGAGTCTAAAAGATGTTTTATTTTGAAAATTCACACTCAGCACCTTGGTCCGGATCCGTAGTAACAGGTGGTACTGGCTGTCCAGTCCTTGGAACTATAAAGGTTAGGGACCACTGGTATAGATGTAACTACTCTATGACAGACTAATACATGTTTCTGTATTTAATTATTATTTATTCAAGCTACAAATATTGTTCATAATTTCATAGGTTAAGCAACTCTATGAACAGCTTGGCGGGCCCCATTTGTCCCCCGGGCCTTAAGTTTGACATGTATGTGTTAGACCATCAACAGATGCACCTGTGACATTTGGTGTAGTTTTCGTCCAACACTCTAACCACTTGGCATTTTATCTTTTTTTCATGGAAATGTCCCAGCTACTTAATGAAATTAGCATTGGAAAGAACATTGTGATGCCAGTGTCCTCCATTTCTATCAGATAAAGGGATGTGCATGCACGCTCAGGGAGCTATTAAATTTGGATTGCCACTCATTAGCGAATGAGTGGCAAACGTGCTGCTCTTGTGTTACTCTATCTATGCCTTAAAAAAGGAGGTTGGGCAGGGACAGGATCTCTGTATTAACATGAGAAAATGGCAGCCATTATGTGGCAAAACCTCAGCATTAGTGGTCACATTAATTGTCTGAATATTTGCAGACGACCTGCACTGTTCGTCATTGTGCATGCATGAACAAACAGCCTTTCTAGTCGCCGTGGGGGTGTTCAATTAGAAACCTAACATATTCAGTGGTGAAGAGGGGGACGTTAGCATCCATCCACCAACTGAGCTTAGAGCAGGATGAAAAGACTTTGCTTTAGAGGGGGCGAGGTTCCCCCGGTGCACAGGTCTCTCTTCCTGCTTTCTATTTTTCTGCTCTCTACATTGTGTTCATTATTGATAAAGCACTCACTCATATTTCTCATGCGTTATTGGTGTGAGTGAGTGCAGTGAAATCTCTGGAGCTCTAAGCTTCACTGTGTTGTTTTTCTCAGCTGTCAGCAGGTAACTAGAAACTGAAGAATTCCATTTGGCTGATATTGCATCCAGTTGGCTCAATATGCCACCGGGACGGTTTTAATTGGCTCACAAATCACCTTACATGAGAAGGTGTCGTCAAATATTGGTATTTTTTTAAAAAAAAAGCTTCATTGAATGGATAATCAATAATGCTAAACAATACAATCCTGAAGGTAATAAGGTTGAATTCAGTTTGGACGTGCGGTTTGTTAAGATCGACATTTAAAATGAAGATTGAATGTTTGGTAAATAAAGATGGTAGATAGGTTGACGTTATCAAATAATGATGAAAAACCTACCTCCATTTTCTTCAATAGGACATGAAGATCTGTACAGCCTTGACCCTGGGCTAAGTCAGTGGAAGTGTGATCATGGCAATTGGACGTGCACACCACCTTCTTAGCATCGTCACACTGCAGGAGCTGCCTTGGCATCTTCTTCCAGCTATACTGGTTCCCAAAGTGGCAGACTGATGATACATCTGTGTGGTTCTCTGAGCCAAAAATGAGAAGATTTAAAAAGAAAACAGCCACACACTGCAACTAGTCCACTTATGTTACTTCCTTTCAGGTGATAACAGATTGGCCTGGTACAATGTTAGTGATTGGATTTATTCAGGAGAGTCACAGAAAGACAGCTTGGAGGCACTTATTGACCTGTTCATCATGGAAATGGATTTCCCTGTGGCCTTTTTAGCAACGTTAGGAATCCATCTGGGTAGTTGATGAAACCACCCATTTGCCACGTAATTTGCAAAAAAATAAGGAAAAAAAATTTGTACTATTTTTTTCCTTTGTGCATTAAGTAGCAAGAACACAAATGTGGGCAGGTTGGTTGTCACACACTTGCTTTGAGAGAAAGACATGGAATAAAGACAGGGTGTGAAGGGAATTCTCCAAAATAACTACAATCATGGTGAAACACTTTTTAATGCAAGGCTTATGTTGCTGAACGCTTTTTTCAACAGCATTCAGCAACATACACTATAATGAATGCAAATGGTCACTGCCTCTGATTGACAGCTTGAGTGTCCATTGAGCTAAAGCATAATAATATACCCTGTCTTCATTCAGACATTTCAACCTGTTAGACCTCTACCCTTGCCTGATATCTATTAACGTAAAGGATCAGATTTAAATTATTAACACCAGGGAAGTACAACTACATCCTGCAGGGCTCAACGGGAAAATGGAAATATTTTCCCGTTTAATCCGTTTTGGACATATGGGCAGCTATTATCATGTATTCATAAACTACTGTTTGTACAGTTATTAGTTTAGAATACTTTACAATTCTGCAAGTTGAGGTAGAGAGGTGGGGATTTAGGTAAAACCTAACCAACTTGGTGCAGAAATATATTTTGTGTTCTTGAAATTTTTTAGAGAGTCAGACAAGATGCTGTTTTCTGAGAGTTTTCAATGTGAAGTTTGATGCTTCAGATGCACAAGAGGGGAGTTTCTGTACCTGTTTTAAGTGTGTTTTCACACTGCACTGCATGGAAGCCTTTTTTGGACATTCCCTCCGGCAACATGGACGGCAACCTCTCATTCAGTCTGTCTACAGTGGACACCTGAAGCGTCTCAAAACAACATGGACAGAAAAAAGTTTTTTTTAATTCAGGTTTACTAACACAAGGGTTGAGACTGGAGGAAAAAAGCAGGTCCCACTGACCTCACACATTGGACACTATTATTACAGTAAATATGAAACTGCTTTTATTTATGTTAAAAGATCGAGCTGTGAACTCTTTTAAATATTTACTGCACTGGAAATTGACATGAAATATTGTTGAAATATGAAAACTTAGGGCATAGGGGAAAGCTATAAGAGGCAAGCTAGACTTTGGTTCGGACGTTTTTCATACCCCTGATGAACCTGACCTAATCCCTAATTTGCATCTTTTTAAACTGCGGGGTGGAAACAGAACAACTGAGAAAATAGCAAGCGTGCAAACAGGAAAAACAAACTCAATATGGAAACACTGTTAACATCAAAACAAGGAAACAGTACTTCCAACTGCACGTGGGGTTCACTGATCAGAACAGGAATGACTTCAGTACACTGTGGTCTGAACACCAGCAGGTTACCTAAATCCCTACGTTTACCAGAATCACTTACCTGAAATGTGACTATTATGATCAATGCATTAGTTAGTGTATGTGCATAAGCTAAATAAGAGCAGAACACTAACATACTCTAGCACAAAGGAGCCTAAGAATAATTCTATTATAGTGGTACTGTAATAGAACATGTTGCTGCATTTACGCTGAAGTGCACACTTTGGAAAAGTGTCTCATATGACATTATCTTTTTTCTCTTTCTCTCTTTTTTCATGTTTGCACCCTAACAAATGCATTCATTAAAGAGGCACTTCACTAAAGTTCAGTTCTAGCATTATAAATAGTCCTGCACAGGCTGTTTCAGCACATGTCTAATGTTTTCTATGGCTCTGGAGGGAGCTGTATGATGTCTGGAAAAATAACACCCATTACATCATTAGTTGGATCCTCAGGATCCAGTGTTTCAGGAATTGAACCCTGAAAAGAAAACACAAACCTGGAGAGGTCTGTCGTTTTGTTTTTATAGGGGAACTTCAGATGATTACAATTTGCAAGGTGACCGTTAATTAATAGTTCAATTAGGACATCAGCGGAGCCTGGAATAGACGGTCAGGCTGAAGCAATGAATCTTAAAATTCCCAAAGTGCAGTAAATAATGATAACAGACAGAGCCATACAAAACACTGGTAAACTGGAGTTACGTCAGTCAACATAATAGTACTTAACTCACCTCAAGTAAGTTGAAGATGTTTCAATCAAATGTCTTCAGCTTGAGGTGAGTTCAGTTGCCTACTTTAAATTGCTTTTGAGATTATGTTGATGACCTGGGTGTCTGCTGTTAACCCATCACCAGTGGGCAGTGAACAATGGGGAGCAGTGTGTGTCATGCTCAGAGCACCTCAGTGGTGACTTGGCAGCTGGTGGATTTGAACCTGAAACCTTCAGGACTCAAGTCCGCTTCCTTAACCACCAATCCACCACTGCCCCGAAGTGCATGTTATTAAGGCCACAGTTTTACCTGACACATGAAATGTACAGGGTCTTCAACCCTTGACAGAAGGTTAGATATCTCATCCATGTTGTAGTACTGCAGAAAGGCCTTGCTCAATGGCACCCCATGGCTATACACTATCACAGCTACTCGTCCTGCTGGAAAATCTGTGATAGAAAACATAACAAAAGCTACTGATTTGTAGGGAGGGCTTGTGTGTGTGTGTGTGTGTGTGTGTGTTCATTTTTATTTTTTGACTGATAATTCAATACATGGTTCATTTGTTTCATATCCTGATGCTCACCAGGTGCACTGACACACAGGGTCCACTCATTCCAATGGACAGGCTTTACTGTCAGCCTCTGATTATCACCAGTGAACTCAACCTCAGTGTCTCTGCCGGGAGCCTCATCTTTAAAAAGAATAAACAGCTCCATGGAAGACTGAGAAATAGAAAGTGTAGTCAATTGCAGAGTAGCAAAGGTTACAGGTGCTTGATGCAAAAAAAAAAGCCAAACAAATGGCTCCCAGCTGAGTAGATGAGTGCCTCACCCTGCAGGGTACTCTGGAAGGAAGGACGACTGTTCTGGACCTGACGCTGAGGCCTCCAGTTGACCGCGTTTGTTCCACCTTTGGCTTTGACAGTTTACATGTCAGTGGGTTGACATTTTCCGCTGTGGCTGACGCACCTGTGAAAGAGGAGAAGCTGAGACTTGGTCTGCATTAAGCGTCAGCAATGCAATGGAAGAAGAAAGCAAGGGGCTTTTCAGACAGCCGCTGATGACTGTGTTGATCCACCACCAACTGTTAGACTAATTGTCCTGGACTTTACTGCTGACATTCACGGTCCCCAGGGATTTAATCAATCACTGACTGTTTTTCAAGTCACCCCTTTCACTTCTTGTGAACATTTTTGAATTAAAGGTATCAATTATTACTAACAACAATTAAAATACATTTCAACAGTATGGACACGGTCCAGTAAAATGGAAAGTATAATCAAGCTAATTTGTCTGCTGTGTGCGCTTACAGCGATAAAAGACTAGGGAGTTATTGTGACTGAACAAACACAGCACTTCTTGTATAAAGTCTGTGGGTTCCTGGTCTCAACCACTGTACATTGCAATGAAGTGATGTAGAGTGTACTTGAATTTGCATGGCTTGCGATCAGCAGCAGCGGCCAAAGAGAAAGGACTAGCTGTTCGCATCTGATGCTCTTCCTGCACAGACACACACATGTTTAAATACGAATCTTCTCCTCCTACGCTTTATGATTTAATACAAAGCTCAATTAGACAAAGCAGGATGGAAGGAAGAGATCATTGGTAGGGCAAATGAGGAAATGGCAGAGACACACAACTCTACCCAAAGATCACGTTGCAGCCGCCGGTGCTAGAAAATACTTGCTGTCAATCTTCACCTCATGCAATTCCCTGGGAAAAAAAGTCAGTAGACAGGTTTCCCAGATGCTGCTCAGACGCTGTCACAAATAGTGATTTTTTTTCCCGCTCATATTTATGACAGCTGGACAGCAGACAGAATAAAGAGGAGTAATCTTGTCCAGCATTGTAAACACCGGGATTCAGATTTATTTTAGATTTAAAAGCAGTCTACCTGTAAGAGGTGAAATTATTTTAAATGGCATTTATTTTTTTCTTTCATTTCACTTTTTACAGTTTTTTTTATAAGAGAATAAGCCCCCTCTTCCTCCTGTGAGGAAGTGTGTAATAAGAATGAGTATATGATATAGTTAAATAATAATTTATTTAGCGTGATGGTTCTGAAAATGTGGGTCAGACCTCTTCTACAGGCTGCAAAGCCATTACAGGAGGAACACAGAAAGTCAAATTAATGTCAACTTAAAATCATCTGTTATTTCTGTTACAGTTGTGACTTTCACGGAATTAAAATACAATTTCCTTTGTCAATGATAATGTTTCTCAGTTTCGTAAGAATGACTGTCAAAGCAAAAGCTGTAAAGGTGTTGACATGGGGGGGGGGGTAACTATAAAATGGGTGCAGTGTAGATTTGTAACTAGGGAAAAATGGAAGGGAAAACACATTTATTAATGTTATTACGCAAGAAGTTGTGTCAAAATTTTATATTTTACATTTAAAAAGTAAATAACAAAACAATAAACTATCACTCAAAAATAAAAATAAACAAAAGATGGCTTTTTGCCTTTCTGGTTCCTCTGTAAAATGAAGTAAAACACATCTTGGAGTCAGGTATTCATACCTCTTTTCACAATTTCAAGCACTGTGGACACATACTCATGTCCATCTTGTTTACTGGATAACAGATGGCATTTGTCTTCATCCAGGTGCAATACCTCCATCAGTGGAGTCAGACTCTCCACCCCACACAGCAGCACCACCACCTGAGCTGCAGGTTTCAGGACACGGGTCAAAAAGATGCCCCATGTCAGGCAAAACCCATTCAGCACGCCTTCAGAAAGGATCAGTAGTTTACAATTGTACTTTTCAAGCCCAAGGTAGTCCTTCGGACTGTTGGACAGTGTGGTGATGTTGCAGCAGAAGATCCCATCCTCAGGTAAAGAACCAGTGAACATTGACTTTACGTAGGCTGCCCACTTCTCTGCCTCAGTGTGAAAGATTATAACAAGCTGCCTATCTGAAAGGACAAGGCAAAACATGCCTTAAACTTTATATACATACATATATATATAAACATAATTCCTTATGCATTCAAAGATCCAAGTCATAAAAAGTTGATCTCTCTGTCAACGCCACTGCAGCATTTATTAAAAGGTAGATAGATACTTTTTTGATCCCAAAGGAAAATTAACACACATACACAGTAACAGGCTGATTGTTTTAATACCATGCAAACAAGCATTTCCTTGTTGCTGAATTTTTAAAAGCTCACTTAAATGACTGTATAACTGCATGACAAAACTATTTTAATGCATCAGAAAATAGACATTAAAAAGATATAACCATTATATTTGCTAAGATATATTTCTCAAATATTACCATTAAAATAATACCCTGGGGCATTTGAAGTAATAAACCGACAAGACTCACGCAAAGTATTAAAGTAATTAATCACATCTGGTAATCCTTAGACAAGTTTAATAATGATTTAGTGGGTAAATAATGTGAAGAGAAAGCCTACCTTTGCGACTCATGGCTGTGCTCTGTACGTGTGAAGCGCCTATTGCGTTATAATGTGAAAAACAGCAGTGCCATTGTTTAGAAAGGATCAGATTAGGATCAGATCAGACGTTAGTTTGTATGTTGTAGGGAGCAGGGAGCTGCCCTGAATGTGAGGATTTGTTATTTATTTTGCCTGTTGGAATTAAATAGACAATGACGAGACTATTTTTCAAAAACTGAAAATGTAAGACACTGACTTATGATTCGGAAGTCTTGAGTTAAATTCCTCCTAATTTGTCTCCAAGACCCGAGTAGGGAGATGACTAAATCTCATGTTTCCAAGAAGGTTTCTTATTTTCCTGTATTCTAAACTAAGGCTGTGCTGCCTATAAACTAACAGAAGGACAAATAAGAGTTATGTGACCAAACAAATAAACACAACCAGATAACAGTGTCAAAAAGACAACAGGTGAGTGTGTACAAAAAACCCTGAGCCACAAATTAGAGCAGAGTTTAATTAAGTCTGCAGAGCCATCAGCATAAAGCCAAGTGCTGAAAGCCTAAGGCTGGAGCCAGAAACTAATGATCTGCTGTGAAAGTCTGATGGTCTGACCTAACACACACACACACACACACACACACACACAGACCGTAAAATGAGAGAAATGAGAAAGAGAACTCAAGACTTCATTAACTGTCTCCATCTGCTGAACAAGTGGCTCTGCTAATGCTTTATAAATAGCATTTTCCTATTGTTTATCTTTTGGTTTCCTCTTGTACAGCAGTTATGTCACTAAAATGCAGCTGTTCCGCAAATGCAGAGGTTAAAACTAAGGAATTTATTTGTTTTTCAAAAGATGTCAGTCCTCTGAGTATGAAAGTCAAATCAAATCCCAACAAATGATCCACAACTAGATATTATGAAAACATCCAGCTTAAAATGGAACAGTAATTTGGTTACCATTTTACAAAAGCGCTTTACAGACAGACATCAAACAATCCTAAGGGTGGTGCTAATGAAGAACTCTTCCCCAAGAACAAATCCCCAAATGAGAAGCTCTTATTGTATGGTAATGCTGTTTTAACATCTACTTTAGTTAGTAATATTACAATACAGCTATCTTCCCAATTTGAACTTCTGTTGTATAATATTGTTATTCTTGTATAATATCGTTTGAATTAATGCCACATCGAAATGGTGAAGAGCATATTGTTTCAGTCCATAAAAACAATTATTTCTGTCAGTAAATAATGAGATTTTAAGTAGAAATTGTAAACAAACAAGTTTAACTCATAAATTGGTTTATCACGTTTTGAATACGACTTCTATACTGTATATACCTTTTACTAAACTATATATATAGTTTTACTTATGACGTGAATATTAAATGTATGCTATTAAATTTTAAAAGACAAATTACTTTCTTGCGCTTTTGAAACATTGTCCTTGGTAAATATAATGTTTGTGAAAATATTTCTACCACAGTTAAATCTGCTGTGGTAAGTAGTAAATAAGCATATAAGCTATATTATGAGCTTGTAAATTGTATCTCTAATAATAATATAATTTAATTGCATATAGTTTCACTCGTATAAATCACACAGAGACAGGATTTTTACTGGTAAAACAATAGTAATAGTTATCGTCCCAATTATAGTTTTATCTCGTCCCGTTTGTCTTTAAAAATGCATACGGGGTTGAAAATGTTCAAATTACTGTACATGCTCATTCCAGTATTTGCGATTAGCTTCAACTAAATTATAATATGTAATTTATATAGTTCACGGTAGACTGGACTCACAGGAACACCCTTTGAAAAAAATAAACAGTGAACGATATGACAGCGTTTCGCTCTTAGCCAATAGGGGAAGGCGGCTGTTTCTAGGGGCGGGACTCTGGAGGCAGCAGGTTTGAGTGCGCACTGCGTTCAGACAACTTGATCCAGAGTAACAGTAAATCAGACAGGGCAGCTCCTCCAGCAGCAGCAGTGAAATTGTAACCCTGTTGCAAGTATTTTTGGCCGCTGATAGGACCGAGTGAGATCACTGCGGTCTGTTTTCTCGGATAGACTCAAGAGTTGTTCGTCAAGAGCAACGCAAGGGGAGCGGTTGTTACCAGTCTCTTTTTTTCCCTGATAGATCGCAATATTACAACACACTGGAAATGTCCGAAAACAAGCCGAATGATGAACCGAAGTTATCTACGACGGACAGGGTGGTGAAATGTGAGTGGAAATTCTCTATTATGGCACACATTATTTGAAAAAGACACGGTCCCATAGCTCTGTCTCTCAGCAGCTGCACACACAGACTTGAAGAGTTGACGGTCGTGGCAGCAGCAACAGCTAAATGTAATCGAAAAAAATGTTTACTGGCCACGAAGGAAAACGGGTGTTAGCCGAGCTGTGACAGCAGCAACGGCTGCAAACTCGGAAGTGAGGGTAACTCCAGTCTGTAAAGCAGGGCGAGGTGGTATTTGTGAATATACAGTGTTTTCATGAGCTGCACACACACACGCACGCACACACACGCGCACAGCAGTGTGACAGATGCATGCTCTTTTTGGTTCATACTTACATATACCCTGCACAGCTTTACAATAAGCATGCTGATATTGTATAACCATTGCATTTAACTCAAGGGCGATTTTCCCTCATTTTGCATGCACGACCAAGCATAGTTTTCCCAAGACTTTATTCCCCTCTGTAGCATCACATTACTCTAATTTTGGTTGAGGTTTAAAAATCCTTAATCTGGAGGAGCTCACGGTGTACTTTTCGTCTTCACGCTGCATAGGCTGCTTCTTCCTGATATCTGTGTTTACAAGTCTGGCATTCCACCGTTGCAGTCTACCATAAGAATGCAATGAAGATCATAATCAAGTCGACCTGGCCAATAAAAAATGAATAGAAGCAATATAGTCTGCTTTAGTTTCAGACACCATTTTGAAATCTTTGGAAAAACTCCTCTTTAGTCATATTCCCTTTTGGAATATTTACGCATTTTGTCACTACAGGGAAACTTTCTCACATTGGAAGACGAATGCAAAGCCTTGAAGTTGCAACCATTATATTCTCCAGTACTAGTATGAACAGGCAAGTGCAATGATCCCAGTGTGCATAAGCAAAGGAAAGCAGGCTTAGGGTTGCTAGGGTTCAAGCAGTTGAAATGATTAGATATGAATATATGCTGCATGGAACATAAGACCTTTTCCTGCCTCTCTAAGATCAATCACTAATTTAGTTCCACTCCATTGCTTTTTCTGGAAAGGAAAAAAATAATTAAACAATTTCTCATTTTGTTTAAGCAGCAAGTGCAGATCAGTTTTTGTTCTACATTTTATTCCAAAAATGGGGTTGGATGTTGAAAGAGTCACTGCATGTCTTGGTTGCTATTGTAATGAATATTTCAATAGATCATCCCCCTACAGTCTCCAGCAACTTGAAAGCTAATGAAAAATAGATGTGACACGTATGGGTTTTTGAAGAGATTTAACATTATCACCAGGAGACTCCTCCAGTCATGAGATGAGTCTGCAGCTTTGTTTTTGTTCTGAGATGCCATCATATTGCACAGCTCACACTCCTGGCTTCACACACAGTGAAGGTTTGCCATGATCTTAATCAGATTAAAATCTATTGATCGGTCATTAGACGGGCTGCCAGGGAGCCACAGTAAAAGAGAAGCCAGTTGATGTGTCTATTTCAAAACCTGATGCTAAGATCGACAGTGTAATTTTACCCCTTCATTCTTTTATCAGGTTTTGAGAAGTTGATGTTTTGGTAATACATCAGTGTTATGACAACACAGAACATGGCTGTATACAAAGCGCCTCTCCAAAATAACTGCAGGCAAAAAAGTCTGAAGTAATTTGTTCTCAAAGGTCTGGTTTGCAAAGCACGGTATCAAGGTGTCAGGCTAACTTATCATAAGTGCTCTGCATCCTTCTTTTTCTACAAGGAATTACCATAATGCAAACCGCTGTGCCATTGCAATTACTCATGGAGATCCATCAGCTGAATGAGAAGAAGTCACACCTTTACCAACATAGCATGAATATTTTCTTTATGCAATTTTTGCTCTATCCCCTGCAAATGTTGTAACAAACACAAGTTGAAAAACATTCAGATCACCAGATGGGGTCCTCGATTATCGTGCTAGCTTATGCTAGCTCTCCCCAAACAAAGTATAAACATGGGTTATAGTTTAAGAGTGTAGCATAGTTCATTTACCATGAATACATACAAATCAGGCACAGTTATAATAAGCAGTATAACTAGGGGAAAAAACCTCAGTCACAAACAGTTGATTTGATAAACAGACATCTTGGCTTAAAGCTCTGGCTTCGCTCCTATTGTGACGTGATTGAAAATGGTACAAACTGAATGCACCTCTTGTACCGATCAATAAGCTGAAGTATTAGTTGTTAAAAGGGTTGCCCGGTTACATTATCACTTAGTGATTGAATAAATATTCCTCAGGTCATTGTTAACCAAGGGATTGTTTCATCTTCTACAACTCTGGCCTTTTTTAATTGCAAGAATCAGTCTGATGTTTCAAAGGGTAAAAAGCTGTCTACTCAATACTATATTTACCAGGAGACTTCTGGTAGAGAAAATATTTTGCAAAAGTCCTTGAAATAAAGAGCATATTTCCTAATTTTTTCATGAATTTGATCTTACTTCTTGACATCTGTTTTATCGCTTATTGTTGATCTTTAGTTGTATTGTCATTTATTGCACCTGTATTCATAATTAACATGAAACATAGTGTCAAATGCCAAAGCACTGCAATTAATTAACAATGAAGGGCTGATTTTTATAATAACTTAGGAACAAAACTTGAGCAAAAAAGAAAAATTGAGTCGTGGTGTTTTTCCATCAGCAGCTGGAGAGCAGGGCCTCTTAGCCCCCCGACGGTGTTCTGGGTCCTTCTCTACAAGAGGGGATGGATAACATCTGACATTTGACTTTTGAGGAGAGGCCCCAATGCTCAGACATGCATGGACTGGGGAGACAGTGGTGGTGACAGCAGTGTAATGCCAGCCACTGATCCTAGCTGAATAGCTGAGTCATTTATAGAACAGAACATTAAGTAATGCCACATACTCGATCTTCGCCTTATGTGTGATCACCTGGTGCATGGTTCTTCTTCATATGCACCAACCGTCTCTGTGTTATCATGTGTAAACACAGTGCAGAGCTATAAGATTACCATTTAATTTGGATGGACACTGAAACTGAAAATAATAATTCAATGCTTTATAAGCATGTATAGTGATTGCCATTAACTTTAAATACAGTTGCTCTGGGAAAGTTTATTGATTGCCTCAACTACTGACATTGTGTTAATTTTATTCTGTGCCAGGCTGCTACGTCTGCCTGTCTGCTTGCACCAACCCACCTGGCATATTTTTGTAGAGTCAAAGGACCCTCAGTTTAGCGAAACTGTGTCAAACAAATTGTCAATAACTTCATCCTTTTAGCTTTTTTTGGCAGATTCTGTAATTTCGCCGTCTGCTTGACAGTGCAGAGCAGGGGATATCACACGAGTGTTGCTCTGTGGGATAGAGATGACTCATCGTAGAAAATGTTAAACTGTCACTATGGATTAAAGGTTTTTTTGTGGGTGGTTGTGATTTACTTTAACTAAAAATGTCATTGTGGGATACCAGCTTTGGGGACTTTGAGAATTGAGAATTTGATCTTTCCGGAATTAATTAGTCAAACTTAACTTAAAGGTCAAAGAAAAGAAGAGAACATGTTGTTGTTGTTTGACATTAGAAACAATTCAAAAATGAAAAGCAATAGAGGTTATTGTCAAAATAAATACCTATAGATAGACACACTATAAAGGGCACAATCCAACCTTGGTTGTAATCCAGCTAGTACTATGGCTTATTACAAACAGGAAGCAGTTTAATTGTTCTTCATCTTATAAACTGTGTTTCTGGCCTTTTCACCTGCCACTAGTGATTTGCCTTACCTTAGACTTTATTCAGAGTGGTTAGTTTTAGACACATTTTCTAAATTCATCTCATGGTAACTAGAGTAATACCACTGTCCTTTCAGAATATTGACCTCACAATGTTGTCAGGCTAATACAATTGTCTCGTACTTTTTAGAAGTTCATGTAACATTGTGTTTGAATTGTTATTTTGTGCACTTTTAAGGATTAAGCGCACATTTTAATAGCTAGTTTTTTTTTTTCAATTGTTTGCTTCATTTACAAAGAGCAGAACAACTGCATCTTACTGTACTCAATGTTATCTATTCATGATGACATTATGTGCCAAGCAACTCCTAGTGCTATACTGAAATCAACCAAAGTTCTTTTTAACCTAGAAATAGTACAATCTTTTTGGAAATAATTAGTTTTTCCCTGACCACAAATGCCATTCAAGAAGATGAACTTAAAATGAATTTAAAGTGTACTCACAAAATAATTTTATTGTATTATTTTGGTCTTTAATGGCATTTGCAACCTCAAACTGTAGCAAAATCCCTCATCCCTTCAAATACCTCTTATTTAAATTTGTGACAGCAGTTCAATAGTTCTGGGCACGTACCTGCAGCCCAAACCACAAGCAACACCATGATAACTCAACAAAACCTGTCTTGTCATTCCGTCATCTGTCGAGACACTTTGGCAGTTCCTGGTAACGACGTAGTTCATAATTGCATTGTAGAAAAGATCCGAGTTGCCTGTGTGGTGATCTGAAACACAGTCAGATATTCTAAACCTGAGTGTGCACCTTTACTGCTCATTAGATTAAAGAGGAATTATTCTATGTTGTGGATTTAGGGCAGAGCAAAGCAGAGGATTTGGACAGATTAAGCTCTATATAGGGGGATAAAGGCGCTCTGCTCCAGGGTTGTAATCTGACTCCGTGCATTAACTGCTGCTCTTGCTAATTCTTGTGAACAAATGGATGAAGGAATGGGGGGGTGGGGGGGGGGTCAATAAAGCTATAGGGGGAAAAAACAGTTTACTTACTTCAGAGTTTTTCGATTATTGCTAAGCCTTTCAGCACAGATTGGAGATTTGCAAGTCTTTAAAATCAAACTGTTGATTCATCTGCACCGCCAGATCTACTTTGTACATCTATGGCTTTTGCCCTACATGACAGGAATATAACAGCAGAATCCCACTCAGAGTTGTTTGTGCCATTTACTTACCATAGATCATAATCTTGCATCATTGCATCTGGTGAAAACCAGCCAGT